TCACAGCAAATCAGTGTCAGAATAGGAAAAGAATTAGGAATTTTCCTTATGGATTTCCCTATTTTAATAAAAAGCTCCCAATAGTGAAAGAAAAATAGGTGTAATAGGTGTAACTGATGCCTGTGCTCCTATGGTTATACCTAGATCAAATAGGAAGCATTTAAATCTAAAATGAAGGACCTAGCAGCACTTAGAAACATCTAGTCAATAGTCTGCTGTCAAACAAAATTTAACTTATTTTATGATATACAAACCAAACCAAAAAAAATAAAGCACAAATCTATATCTTATCAAGTTACATTCTGTGGAAGAACTCAGATACGTATTCCACAGATTAAATCCCAACATAATTCATATCAGAAGCAGCTGAGGGAGCTGGGTTGTTTATCATGGAGAAAAGGAGACTCAGGGGACATCATCACTCTTTACAAGTGACTGAGAGGAGGCTGTAGCCAGGTGGGGGTTGGTCTCTTTCCCCAGGCAAGTGACAGGACAAGAAATGGTCCCAAGTTGCTCAATTAGGAAGAATTTCTTCACTGAAAGGGTATTAGAATGGGCTGTCCAGGGAGGGGGTGGAGGGTGATCCCTGGAAGTGTTCAAGAAATGACTGGACATGGCACTTGGTGCTATAGTTTAGTTGACAAGGTGGTGTTCAGTCAAAGGTTGGACATGAGGGTTTTGGAGGTTTTTCCAGCTTCAGTGATTCTCTGATTTCTCATGAAGATCCTGTGGAAGGAACTCATAGAATCTCTCTTTACAATTGCATTTACATGCATATGCCACTACTTCAAAAAAAAATGAGAATGCTGTATACTACTACTCCTAGTTCAACTGAAATAAATAATTTTAGATTACTTAAATCTTTTGCAATAAGCATTTTTCCTGAGATTTTTACTTTCTCTAATTTAAAAATTAAGGATTTTGGTTTCTTAAACTTTGGCAAAAATTTTCTATATTTGCAACATGAGGAACACATTTTCCTAATTTTGAAAGGAACATAGATAGAGCATGTAGGGATTTCACTAGGAGCATTGCCAGCAAGTCAAGTGAGGTGATCCCTCTCCTCTAGTCAGCCAACATTTGGAGTGCTGGGTTTAGTTCAGGGTTCTTCTGTACAAAAGAGACATACAAGAGCCAGTCCAGCAAAGGACAACAAATTTTTAAGGGACTGGAGCATCTATCCTGTGAGGAAAAGCTGGTAAAGCTGGGATTGTTTAGTGTGGAGAAAAAAACCTCTGGGAGGTCTCATCAATCTGAAAGAAAGGAGTAAAGAAGAGGGAGCCAGGCTCTTTCCAGTGCTGCCCAGTGACAAGCAGTGGGCACACACTGAAACACAGGAGGTTCCATCTGAACACAGGAAATGCTTTTCACTCTGAGGGCTAGAAAACTAGGGGTGATTGCATTAGAAAAAACCTGAAAGAACAAGTGAAACACCAAATAGTAGAGGGCAGAGGTGGACAAGTAGCTGGGTATTAAACAAGAGCAGATAACATCAAGGAAGAAGGGAAGAGAAAGCTGAGCATTAGGAGGAAAGAAGCAGTGGGCTGTGAGCCCACAGGACACAGAAGTCACTTGGTGGTAATGAGCAGAGGAAAGGCTCTGGGAAGCCCAGCAAAGGGAAGTGACACACTGGCTTCCCGATGAAAGGAAAGGAAAGGGCGAGGCAGGCAGGACAGAGGATCTCAAACTGCTCCTGGTCATTTTTTTAAGATCAAAGAATGGCTGTGTTCTGGGAGGACCAGAAAACCTTTGATGCAATAGTAGTTTTGGCAAGACATTACAGAATTAAAGAAGAAAAGAAAGTATTAACCCTTCCATTCAGTATTTCCTCAACATTCATACAAGCAAAGTATGAAAATCATGAAATAATCTCAAGAGCTAACAGCAAGACTTACTTATTGATGGAAGGCACACAGAGAGAGACAGAAAGGAAGAACAAGCACATAAAAATGGATGGTGTCAGGCAGTCACATAATCTCTCTACAAAATGCATTTGGTATTGTTATCTTCCAATTCTTCTTTTAAATTGGATGATAAACCATAAAACTGATGCAAATTTGAGCATGCTACTACAAGAGAATAATCTAATAGCTTTTACATTGCTGAGTGGATGCAGACAGAAATTTGTTTTACTGATTCAAAACCTTACATTCTTGAACATAAAAATGCATTACAACAACAAAATGCATAAATGTTCATAGTGAACCAAAAATTCATATTAAAATCACAATTTTGCTGAATACTTACAGCATTACCCGCATTAACCTAGATTTATGGACATTGTAACAAGAAGCTGAATTGTGTCCAGAAAAGTCTGATCCAAGTATTCTTAGAAAAGTGGTAACCTCACTCTGGGTTCTCTACTGAAAGCAACAAGCTGTTTTATTGATCAAAGGATATAGAATGCATATGTTCACTGGAATAACTTCAGGATGTGGTTGACTTAAAATTAAATTTTGCAGTCTTCTATGTCAGACTAGTACTCGTAAGGCAGAGGAACATGACTTGCAGCTTATGCAAAACAAAGAACAGAATACTTTATAGAAACCCATTAAAACCCCAAGCACAGCACAGTAGCAGTGTGCACCTACAAAATGCATCCTGACATATCTATGAGAAATAAATATGCTTTCCACTGTAGCCTCATCTGAGAATACAATGCAGATTTTTTTTCCAAAAATTCATACACCTTTCTCTACAAATAGAGGCAAATCTTGTATGTAACAACTAAAATATACTCAAGAATAATCTTTCAATTAAATGACTTATTCTAATCATATTCATTCTCTCAAAATGTCAGACTAAATAATTGATTGCTAAAGTAATTAGGATATTTACTTGTTAATAGCTATTAAATAATTAAATTCACTTTAATTAACAGCATTAAACCAAATAAAAAAGCCAAACAAAACACAATCTCTAGATACGCAAAATCTCAGTTTTGGCTATATCTGTTAGTTCTCTGGCACTTCTCAAGAGCTGAAGGATTATTCCAGAAAACATCTAGGTTCTTCATCTCCTTTTATATCCACTAGTGAGTCTGTCTAACAAACTATGTTCTTCCTTACCTTCCAGCTTCTGCTCCTGACCTGCACAACTTGCTGGAGCAAGAAGCGGTATATCTATTGAATCATACAGCAAAATTGATCTGATTGCAAAAAAGCGCCAAAATATCCAAAAAGCTTCTTCTAAATGGGTACTATTTGTTCTCAGGCTCCTTAAGGGAGTGATCAGATCATGTGTAGTATCTTGAAGGAGGTTCATAATAACAGCACTTTCCTCTGGAAACAGGAGCTGGCTAAGGAAATAGAAGACCCAAGAAACTGCCAGGTACTGTAGACAGGAGATGGAGCTTCCAGCTCAAAGAGACTGCTGAGAGGAGAAGGAGCTGAGAGGGCTCAGAGAGAGGCAAGGGACCTCCTCGTTTGCTGCAACTCACAAAACCACTGAGTTAAATTAAGCTATGCCTGGAAGGTTAATTCACTCAGAGCTCTGAATGGAATCTGAAAGGTTCATGCTACATTTCTTTCCCAACATATTTTTTTATTATCTAAGTTGGCATGTTCATCTCATGGCCACTACAACAATTTTACTGGCAAGTGCAGGAGTTGGAAGTGAGTAGATTGTAGAGAAAGGGAGAACAGTGGGATAGTATGATAAATAGGTCATCCTTTTCTTCTATCTGAACAATAATTTACAAATCTTCCTTTCTAAAGTCAGAGCCATTGGGAGTATAAAAAAGGAGTAAAGTTCTAGAAAAAATAGAAATAAAATTTTTTCAGAAAATAGAGATAGAATTTGCATGACATTGGGGTACTTGTCCTCTGTCTGTGTAAAAATAGCTCTGGGAGCAGAAATGACAAGGAATTTGCAGGCAGTTTAACTCATGGTTTGTGAGAAATGGATGTCAGTGGATACATGCCTGACTGGTTGTCATGTAAGCAAACCATGAATAAGAGAAGGTCCTGAACAGAATTAATGTCCTGTCAACACCTGACACAGCACCATGTGAAGTGCCAGGACACTGAACATCAGCATTCGCTTCCTGCTTCCACAAGGCAGGTGTTGCAGCACAGTACTCTAATTTCCAAAGGGCCTTTCATGACTGAATGAAAGATGTTTTTAACAGATTGAATACATTTAAAATACATTTTTGAAATCGGAAACTGTTTTCAGAGCTGCAGAGTCTATCATAAAGAATAAAGTAATAATTTGACAAATAAATTTTAGAAGTTTATACTTGCAGCATTGATATTGTCTCAGTAGTGGTTTCTTTAGATGAAGTTTTCTGGATTTCTCATGAAAAGGAACTGTGGGCCCGATACATACAATTTGTGATATTTTATTGGACATTCCTACGTGAAGGGAAAGAAGAATGGTTCCAAATTCATAGGGCAAGCTAAAACTCATTCCAGCTATTCCACCTGACGGACTGACTACCTTGGGACATTTGAAAAATTCATTCACAGCATGTACAAGCATAAAGTTTTGTTCTTCCAACTTAATGTCACATTAAATTATATTAATTAGTGGTTAAAGTTACATTCCTTTACTCTTTTAGTTGCAGTGTGGATATGAGCAGATGAACTGATTCTGTCCTGCACCTCCCTGACCAAACAAGTAAGCACACAGAGTAGTCACTGAAATAATTAGATCTATCACATGGACCTCAAACATTAGAAGTGTTAGAAAAATAACACCTTTTGTGTTATACAACATTTCTCTTCCCAGGGATGGGATGAGGACTGAACTGTATAGAAAAATAACAACTCTGAAATACATTGTATTTCATATAACGAGTACAAAAATACTGTAGTAAAGATCTACATAGAGAGCTGCAATGCAAAATTATCCCATCTTCTCTTAAAAGTAAAATGACAGTTAAAAACCCAGAACTGCAACTTTTTAAAAAGTATATATATAAATAATGTTCTCATAATTTAGAGAAATTATCAGCAATGTAATTGGTATTGGTTTGGAAATTAATTTAAGAAACTTACCATTTCTAAGGCCATAATACGTTCCTAAAAACAAAATACAAGATGCCATTAAAAAGCAAAAAATATAAACACAGAGTAAGTCAAAGAATGATGAATAGGATTAATTTTGGGGTTTTGGTGGTCTCATACATAGAGTTTTTTGTAAAAAACTCACTGAGTAGGAACTGTTGTACTTCACTGGATGTCTTTATCATACTGTTCCACTTAGAAAATTGCCCCAAAAATAAAAAAACATCCAGAAACCAGATGAGAAAGGATTTTACAAAAATTACTCCACATTATATTTTTTTAATTAGTGCATTAGGTTTTCAATATTGCTGATTTTACTCCTACATACCCCCAAAAAATATTTCTTTTTTTGATCATCTCTGACTGTAAATCTAGCATTATTTGGAATTCATGTCATCTTAGCATCAGGCTTAGTTTTCTTTTACGCATTTCCTTAGAAAACTAAAAAGTAAATTCTTTATCATTATTCTTTCATCCAGAAATAGCTCTGAATAATGTTTTATTAATAACAGGATGACATTAGTCAAACAAATAAAACAAACCTGTGTCAGTTTTAATCCAGCACAAAATACAGAGGACCCAGAATTAACTAATTTACTGTATTTATTTCAACATACTTTTCCCTTTTTGAAGTATTTTTAAGAAAAATATGAAGTTAGTAAAATCAAGATAGTATTACATACTAAGTATGGTATTTTAAGTTATTTGACAAAACATATTCCAGTGTTTAGGTGAGTCCCCATTTAGAGTATGTGACCATGAAGACATGACAGGAACTCTTGCCTTACTCAAATATTACTCATTTTTTTCTTAGGCAAGGTAGTCTATCACCTGCTAAAGTCTTTATTCTTCCTTAGAAGTAGGTCTGAGATACAGATTATTTCCATGCATCAGAACAAACTTATGACAAAAGGTATTATATTGAAAACTCAGAAATTTTTATTCTGAGATGTTTGTTCCTCCACAAAATTCCAGTGGCAAACTCTCATATTTATTTAAAGATTCTGCAATGAAGTACATACTCATTACCATGAAAAAGATGGTATTTACAGAGCTCATAAACTTCTGGTAATAATGAACATTAATTCAAATAATTGTTTTTCATTTAAAGAGGACTACTTTGAAAAAAAGGTCTTAGAGTGAGGATGTTTCCAATGATAGAATATAAAGTGTTTTCAAAATGATTCATGCGTTAAATAAAGTGCATGATATAGTTGCCAAATTCTAAAAGTATAATAAACTCTTACAATCTCAGCAGATCATTTTCTGGACTAGCATCTAATGTATTAGGAAATTTACCATGGATAATTTATACACCACTTGACTGTGAAAGTATGGATATCTGAAGGGAGAAAAAACTGCTATCAAGCATTTGAATATGAAAGAACAGCAGCCAGAGCACTACAATTCACACACTTAAACAGAACTGCCAGCTAGGGAAAGGAATAAAGCAATTTAATCAGGAACATGACAGGCAGGCAGGCACATAGAGCCATGCAAGACACTACTATGATGCAATTTCCTGCAGTCTAAAATTACTCCTCATTCAATCAGAAGTAATATCATTAGAACAATTTGTCAACCATGAAACTTCACATGAAAGCAGATGCAGAATTGCTTCACATGAAAGGAGATCTTTTTACATTGATGTAATTAGATATGCACCTGTGTAAACTGCTTACGCAGACAAGCTCTCAGCCTTGTTGAACTTGAGCTGCCAGAAAGCCAGGCCAAGATTTTTGTTAGAACAGGAAACAGCTGGATTGGTGTGTTGTGCAACTTTTGGGTCTTGCAACTTGTCTCTTCTTACTGGATCAAACTGTTTGTACACTAACTTCTTTGGTACCTCTAGCCCTAAAAATGCTTTCTATTTATTATATGAGAAGAGAAGGCTCATCTTCAAGCAAAATGCTATGGTTAAAACTGAGGGCAACACATAATGTCATTTTCCTTATGAGCCTTATCTTCATCAATTCCCTCACAAATGTCCTGCTTTCAATACACTTGCAGAATGCTGACTCATTGATACTCTTCATAGTGCATGTAAATTTTTTTTATGTTCATACTGGGTATTGTTTGTAGCAATTTGTTGTTAAAAATTACTTTTTTTTCTTTCTTTATTCTGAAGAATACACATATTACCCTCCCTCACAGCCTCCTGAGCCTCACAATTCAGAGACATTCCAGCCTGGTTTTGCTTTCTTAGTCATTTTAAATTGAAAGGAGTATGTTTTCTTTGACTGCAACGCTTAAATACTATTCCAAAGCTGAGCTTACGGTAAAAGTTTTTAAGCGCAAATTTAAAGTGCTTAGCACAAACAACTTTACTGCTAGATGACATACAATAAGGATTTATAATATTGTACCAGGTCCTAGCAAATACTGACTGGTCCATTCTTCCTCAGAAAGGTGGCTATGAACATTTAGTGCTTCAGAGGCTTTAAATACTTACTTGGAATACTTTACTTTCAGTTTTATTCAGTTTTACAAAAGAAAGTAACACAGCCCAGAGAATTTACCCCAACCAATGGAAAAACTCAGCAGTGAGTATTACCAGCTATTGGGTCTGGATTTGTCTGCATATATTTCCAAATCTGAATTTAAGCTATAAGGCAGTTCAGAAAATCATAATGCTGTAATACAATATGTTTAAAGAAATTTAACAAAAAATGTAGCTAGTTAATTAAGCAGAAAATATACCTGGAGAGCTCCCATTTCTTCTTCTTTTCTGTGTGTCTTCTCTAGTAGCTCTGCAAAATGAAAAATGGAACTTGTAAATTCAAATTCCTGTCTCATGGCTGGATAGAAAAAGTATTGTGTAAAACAGTCATTGAGTTTTTTATTTTACAGATTTCACAACACCCCTTTTCAGCTGATCAAATAATAGATTAAAAGTGTCAGTGATATGATTGTTTTCAAGCATGGGCTGTTGAGGTGACTAAAAAACAGCCTCAAGAACACAGTTTGACTGGGGGGAAAAGAGCTTTAAGATTTACAGATAAACTTTTCTATCCTGAAATAAATCTTCTGGTGCATTTTTAGAATTGAATGAAAAAATCAAAGAGATTCTGCCTAAAAATTAACTAAAACTGACTGTCAAAGCAATGCAAATTGTATATGAAAAGTTACTTTAGAACACTGCAGACTATTTTGACTCACAATAATTACCTCCTCTCACTAAAATGGAACAATTTTGCTAAGGAAAATAATTCACGGTGACAAAATATTAGAAAAGTTTCTTACAGTCTCTACAAGATAAAATCCTAATATCTTGTATCATCATGCGTGACAATTATAGACGTTCGCACATATATGCACATATGTAATTTTTCACATTTGAAATTTTTTTTTGAATTCTGTGGCTTATGTCATGAGTTCCTTTTCCCTTCTTCCTTCATTCACATAGTTTCATGATTAAAATCATGTTTTTGATAAATTGTAACATATTTAGAATTCTGGGACCTTGAAGTTATAACCTCATAAAGAGCAGGAAAAACAAAAAAACATGCTGCAGGCTTATGGCTATTTCAGCTATCAGAAGTTTACTCATAAGTTTTGCATGAGAAGAGCATTGCTTTATCTAAGCCAGAGACTGACTCTGAATTCAGATATGCTCTAGTTTGGTAGCAATTAGGAGAGTTATGGGATTATGAAACTGCCCTGACAACGTCAGAGGACTGAATTCTGACTGTCAATTTTCTCAGCATCCTAGTACAGAACAGCTAATTCAAAGTATCTGTGTTTGCCTCCATAAGAAATAAACTTTACTGATACTTACATAGTTCATAAAGATAAGCTTCAATGATTTACAGTAGTAACTACAGAAAATATTCTGATGTTAATTTGTCATTTTTCCTTTGTACCTCTCATCTTTTCTTCTTCTCTTGTTATGAAACCTTCCTGTGAACACTGCAACCCTCTTTTTTCATAGCTTATTATTAATTTCTGATTGTATGTGGATTGAGACTTATTTCCAAGCACCAGTCCTTTAAGAGATGTAGATACCATGTAAAAATTTTTACTTAATTCTTTCACAAGCTGAGAGATCGACTCACTATTATTTCTTCTTGACTTCAATGCCACTTTTTCCAGATCCTTTTTAAAAATTAGTCAAATTATAATTTCTTCACTTTGTTTTGGTGACTCTATGTTTTTCTGGATTGTTCTTTGGTACGCTTTTTCAGTCCAGTGATCCAACTGCCACATAAATTACTCTAGCCAAATGCACTGCCATCAACATTAGTACAAAAATTTGGGTTGAAAAGTAGCTGCCCTGTATGTTTACCTTGGGTATATTCCAGTATTAGATGTAAGCTGATAAAAATTTGCATTGTAATACAAGCTTTAAAAAAAATTAGGAGCAAGGAATAAGTTATAAGGAAAAGGTGGGAAATGAAAAATTCATCCCCATGTCCCCTCTGACCAAAACCCCTCAATTATTATTACTTTGCTTTATTTTCATTCTAATATAGTAATTAAAATGTTACTGTATAGGCATGATTGTTCTAAGTGAAAAGGTTGCTATTAGAAGGTTCCCTTCAAACATCTTCCACAAATGTAAAATAAGTTGAACTGATTTCTGCTAACAGTCTCTAGATTTGAAAGCTCTGCACCTCAAATTAGGGTTATCTAGAATCCATTTACTTTATCCTACTCCTGCCTAAATCAGTTGTCCTGCAGGGTGCTTCACAAAACTCTGTCCCTGGAAGGGCAGGCAGGTGTTCAAGTTGTGTTAACTGACAAAATATACACCTGTACAGAGGCATCCTTTATGAACCTATATTTAAAAATCAAGTTCTGCATTTCAACTGATGATTCCATTTAGTATTCCATGTAAAATAATGACATGTTTTCTCCAAAGTTGAAGTAAAAAAAAAAAAAAATTAAGCCATTTAAATTAAACAGCTATACAAAAAGTCAAGTCATATATAGCATACACCATTCCTCTGGACATCATTTATCATGATAGAATAACTTTGCTTACTTGATCTGAAGAGCTCTGTTGATTTATTTTATAATTTGTACAATACTTCCCATATTTAAGTTCTTGTGCAAACTTAAATATATGTTTTATGCTTTATGTCATGTGCCAGAAAATAATGTTGCAATAAAGTTAAGACAGAGAATGCATTGTGTCTGCAATGAGCAGAGCAAAGATGGTCACTGGCCCTAGTGGAACTCCTTTCATCCATCCTATGAACAGCCTCTGAGATTTTCCAATTCAAATTCTGTTCATAAAAGAAGTTGCACAGTGGCACGGGTTGCTACAACAATCCTGCTACCAATCTTCTTTCAAGGCCTAATGTAACCACAGGGTACTTAGAGATTTTTCAAAGCACTGCATCATTATTCTCGTGGGGCACAGAACACATCAATTTATAAATTTACTAGAAGAAATAGCATTATTGAAAAAGGAACCTTTAGGCATTGATGGCTCTTCTCAAAATATGAATAATACATGGGAAAAGACAACAAGAGAAATGAGATGTAGAAACAAAGATATTCATCAGTATATTCCCTTTTTATTTCTAGCTAAATATGAATATTGCAATCCAATAAGGAACTATGAGCTAAAACTATTAAAAAATCAGATATATTTCAGATGTTTAAAATCAGCAGCAAGCTCAGGACATTGTCTGTAAATTTAGGGATCATGCTTTTCTGCAGCCATACAAAACCAGTTTATTTACAGTGCCTAAATTCCAAATCATGTAAAGATTATATCTCACTGAGCTATGCATCAGTATACACCAAATGAGTGTCCTTGAAGTTACACTACAGTGACTTAGATGTGACTAATCAAAGTTACAGGAAAAATCTAGGTTATGATTTAAAACATTCTGTCAGAATCATTATCTCTTACAGTTTTCTTGACACTGAACCACCACAGTATGTTTCAAAACACTGCAAATACTAAGCTGGAGATAAAGATTATATATTCCATCATACTACACTGACAAGTGAGGGAAAAGGGGTTATTTGAAAGGATTTTTCACACAGAAACATCCTAGTTGTAACTTTTATTGCTGGTGAAAAGTATCAGCAAATAGATTTAGGAGCAGATATTTATTGACTTAAATGAGTAAAATGCAACAGTACTACCTTATTTATTCTAATTGATCCATTAATATGCCATTAACTAACTAGAATGTTAAAACTCTTTTATGAACTAAAAAGTTCAACTCCTTTAGCTTTGTGCTGGGTGTAACAAAGGTGGGAAACAGGACATTGACTTTATAATAACTGGAGCATCAATTTTTTGATTTCAAACACTGCATGACCCCCCATTTTAGAAACTGAAGATAATAATAGACAACATTCCTCTTCACATTCTCAGAGAAGACTGATATGCCAGAGAAAAATCTACAAATTGGACCAATACCACAATTTTATGTTTACCTTCTTCTAGCCAAGGAGAATGCACAAATACAGAAGCGCACACAGAGTCAATTCTTAAAGCCATAGATATCTACTCATACAGTGACAAATACTAAAATGTGATTCAGTGAGGTGATGAGGACATTCACACTACAGTTGAGTTTTGAATTCATAGGCAATATGCTGTAAACTATCCTAGATATCTTCAGGCTACTGGTAGGTCTGACTGAATACTCTCACCTCTCCCTAGCAGTTGCAGATCACACAGGAAAATAAAGAACTCACATAATACAAAAAATACAGCTACTATGTGGCACTAAAGCAAGAAATCCAGGTTATTACCAGAAAAAAAATGTCAGCTTGGAAAAAAAATTGTCAGCATAATTTTTGCATCATCAAGCTAAGAAAAGCTCTTTTCTGAAACACAAGTCAGGGATTTTGGATATCCAACTATTTTGGATTTCCCAAAGTTTGTAACCCTAAACATTAAGGTTTTAAGTTATATAAGTGGATATCAAACTCTTGAGAAGTCACTTAATTACACACTCTGATCACATTACCTTTAAATTTGCTTTGATCAAAAATTGTAAGGCTTTTTTATGTGAAGTATTTCCCATCATTCTCACTTCAAATACTCAGCCTACAGCTTTCACTCATCGTTTGGATATGTTTCCTACAAAACTGCTGAACAGATACTGCAGCATTCCTGTAGATGCACAAGGCAGCCAAGGCACAAGCAGGTTTCCATCAAGTATGAAGGAATTTTCAAGTAGCTGAATATATCAGTTTCTCTCAGCTAGAAATTACTTATCTTGCTCACATCTACACAGCCAAGTTTAATCACATAACACTTACAAGTTCTTCCCTTCACACAACGAATCTGACATGAAGGCTCTATTCTGGGGGTGAATCAGGACATTTCTAGCTGAACCAGAGTAACCAAAGTGTTTCACAAGATAATATATATTAATTCATGTCCAGTAGAGGCAGAACAACTGCAGTTTTGCCCTGTACCTGTGCTAGGTTGTGATGAATGGCTCCACAGTACTGTGACAACTGTCACAATCCAGAAACACTCAGTTCTAAAGGATTTCAATGAGGCTCAAGCTTCCTGCTGTCAGGCCCAACACTACAAATCATCCTGGCACTAAAGCAACTGAGATGTAAAATAGCACTGGCACCTACTTCTCATTATTTTAATTGTAACAGTATTTGCCACACATGCAAGCCATGAAGGGAATTTCTACACAACCATATTATTATCATCTTGAAGGAGTTTTATAGAAATAGGTATCTCTTAGAACATTAATTTTTGCTAGTGTGGAACAAGGTCCATACATTATTTGTATTTCAGAATTGAATGTTTATGTAA